CTCTACACCTCTTTAACAGGAAAAGATAAACCCCCACTAGCTGCCAGTTGGGTTATGGAATTGAAGAAAGGTGAGCAAGTAAACAAACCATGAGGAGTGGGGGTCCAAATTCTTTTATCAACTTGGGAGATATCCAAAAATACCCCACCTAGAACACCCAAAAGAGGCAAGGTACCATTTAGCTCAGAATCTCTGATTGCCCTTCTAACTCTCAAATCCCAATCAAACCCAAACCTTGAGTTAGAAGGAACCAAGAAGGTTGAAATAGGCTCAAGTTTATAAAGAGACAGAGCAAACAAAGAAGGGAACTGCTCCTTCAAAGGAGAGTTCCTCACCCATACTTGTTCCCAAAATTCAATACGGTTCCCTGAATGCAAATCATACCTGATCCAAGGCAAGAACAATGGAAGGATGGCTTTGATGGATTTCCACAGTGATGCCCTTGACATCCTTGCTCTAATTCCAGTGCCCAGCCATTTGCCACTAGCCCATGGATGCTCACCACTACCTTTTCCCACAGCTTTTCTTTCTCAAGAGGAAGTCTCCAAAACCCCTTTTGTTACTCTTGTTATATAATTAGTCACCTTACTTTACATGTTACTAACTCCATCTTTTTAATTCTTTTCCCCTCAATTATTAATTTACCTTAATTAGTACCATTTTATCCTTTTAGATCCACTGCCTAACTGTTAGGCACCTTTGCTCACTTCACTTTTCTCCCATCTTTTAATGCAAACATCCAAAAATCAAAGGCCACCAATCTTTGTCATATGATCATGTACTTGCACTATCCTCTAGATCAACCTTTATAACTTCTTGTTTCATCTTCCTTGCACTATCCACTTTGAAGGTCATCAAATTGTCATATTTCTTCCTATATGTGTGTGTGTGTGTGTGTGTACACATATATAGATATATATTATGTATATGCATATGTATGTGTGTATTTGTGTTGCTAGAACTAATTTTATTGCAAATCAATAAATTCTCACCTCATTTATTTCCAAAAATCCAACTCCTTCATGCACTGTACCATCTTTATCAGCAATTGACTATTTGTCAATCCTTTTATTAGTGGTGTCAAGAAATGCACAGCATGTATTTTACAAATTTATATATTCTGTACTTGATGTACAGTTTAGTTTCAGGCTGCCAGTCCAACACTGCACCCCTACTGTTATTTGCAGTACCCAATACTTAAAATGGCTATACATTGATCTCTCAATTTAGAGGGTAGTCACCCCATGCCAAAAACTGTCTGCTAACACCTTCAAGCCATCCTATTATATCTGATGCACCATTTTAAGTGTCCTTGTATAATATTTCTCTAACCATTTAAATTCTTTGGAATAGCCCATTGATGTTATTCCAAAAATTCTTCTTAATCCTATTTAAGGGGTCAAAGCACTAATTACATTAATCCTACCCCAATCCCTGTCAATTTACTCCTGTGTACCATACTCTGTACCCGTCAATTTCCTTTATTTTTCCCTTTCAACCTAGTCTCCTTGTAGACATTTATCTTGGCTTTTCTCTTCTTCATTTGTGTGTAGTAGTTCTATGCTCTTTGATATCCTTCAATGCAGATCATTGCCTAAAATGGATGGATAAAATTTCCTTAAGAATATTTTAAATATAAAAATGTCATTTAATAAGCATTTATTTCATATTGAGGCTGCACTTATTATTTCATCTTGACTGGTTCAGATACTGAAAACTGGGTTCTTTCATGCTGATCCTCACCCTGGAAATCTTGCAATTGATGTGGATGGAGCACTCATTTATTATGACTTTGGTATGATGGGAGAGATAAAATCTTTCACACGAGAAAGATTGCTTGATCTGTTCTATGCAGTTTATGAAAAAGATGCAAAAAAGGTATGTGGTTTACCATTTAAATAATGCAATATTGCTACATCTAACTCTAATACCGAGCTTATCATTTGTATAATTGAATTTGCAGAAATTGATGACAAGGACAAAATTTCTATTTATTACATGGCAACATTAATCTATCATTTCACTTGTTTCATATTTATGAATTAATGCCTCTTTCATATTCTCATTCTGAAGCTGTGCCATACCCTTACATCTGTTAAGTTACAACTCAAGATAATGGTTTGCAAAATGTACAGTTAGTGTTAAAGTTCATGTCATTCAAAAAAGTAACTACTAAATGCAACCATTCTTAAACAATCTATCAGCTTAAAACCTTTGGAAAGTATGATTTGTTGTAAATGTAGCATTTAATTGTGAATGGAGATAAGTTCTATGTATGTGTGTTTGCATTTTCCTTTGATTGCCTTGGGGGGGGAGGTCAAAATCTGATAAATTTCCCTATGCTTAGAGCCTCAGATCACTATTCATATTCCATGGCTTCCGATTAATTGGATTTTGGGGGAACACAAGGAAATATTGAAAAAAAATGGTGAAGATTTCATATAAGTTTCTATTCAATGGATTGCTTCAGCTCATTCTTATAATACTCTGACATCTGCGCAATGATAACATGGTATGCATTTTTCTCTGGATTTGTGAGAGTGGATCAATATCTAATTGATTAATCTAGAAGTATCTTACAAAATAGTTCAACTTCTTTGAATTCAAATTGATTATGTTTTCTGTAATTATCAAAAAACTGCATGTGAAGTTACCATCATAATAATGGATGGCCATTTCATGGTTAGACTTATGCTGGAAGGATATCTGGGTACTTTCACTTAGAAATGAGGCTTTAGACATACATTTCTGGCATTTCCTTTAATATTCCAATTTCCAAATTATAATTGTTTAAAGCCATCTACAAGGTTCTTTTATCAATTTTGATGTATTTGGAGACAATTTTCTTCTAGTTCCATTACACATCTATAAACTATTGGACAAGTGTACATTCAAATGCCCTGAAATGTCAAAGATTGATTACTTACCAAAATGAAATACATCAAGTTTGTTCGCATTTCCAGAATTGGTTTCAATTTTTGAGCTGCTACCCTGCAGGTTATGCAAAGTCTCATAGAACTTGAAGCACTACAGCCCACAGGAGACATGTCATCAGTATGGCAGTATTTTTACTTAACATCTTTTTCATTTAAAGAAAAGGGTCGAAACCATTTCTTCGTAGAAGAAATGCAGTTGGCTTGCGTTGTGGTTAAAAAATGAGTCTTCCAAGCACTAAATTGTTCCCCTTTATTTCATGATGTATACACAGGTAAGGAGATCTGTGCAGTTTTTCTTGGATAATTTATTAAGTCAGACACCAGATCAGGAGCAGACTTTGTCCACCATTGGTGAGGTATGCAAAGATTTAATAAACCTTGGAGAAGAAATTAGTTCAAAAATTCAATTTGAGCAATTGAGGATTTGATGTATTAAATTGTTTATGTTTACTGAATTAACCTATAATTATTTTTATAGGAATTGAGTTTTTTAATATATATCATTATTCCCTTCTCAATAGATGCTATAACAATGAATTTAGACTGATGTGGAAAATAGAAACTTAAACTCAGACCTGCTTTAATTTCATCAAACATAAATCAACTAGAACTACTCTCATTGGTGATGTAAGCATAGACATAAAACTTCATATATGATATTTTATTCTGTCATTCTCTTTCATTAAGCATGAAACGCATGAAGGTCAACTGTATCATTTTAGTAATTGCATTGTATACAGAACCTCTTAATTTCTGTGGCATTTCTTTGCAGGATTTATTTGCAATTGCAACAGATCAGCCATTCCGCTTTCCTTCCACCTTTACATTCGTCATAAGGGCATTTTCAACACTTGAAGGTTGAAGTCTGCATTTTGCACCTGCAACTTGGCACTAATTTGAATGCATTTTTACCAATTCCCTTGCTCTAGTTATGCATGAGTTCATGTTTTTAGTGCAAGGGAATACTACATTTTCTCATATTCTGTGACCCAAATTTGGTGTAAGTGGATTTGACGACCTACATGCGATATCTAGGGTTAAACATCTGGTCATTGATTTGGACCATAAAAATGTAGGCTGACCATGGTTTGACCTGATAAAGGCCATTACCCAATGCTGGTCCATCTATTCAGGGTCTTGGGAGGGGTGGACTGGGTATGGACTTTTGCGGTGGCTAAGTTGAACACCTGTTATGTAGCTGGTGGAAGTTTTATAGTCTGCAAGTTCATGACCTATGGGTCCTTTTAAACTTGTAACCTGGCAGATGCGATTACATTGCAAAATTTATTTTGAAATTTCCGTGCACTCTTTCAGGAATTGGTTACACGCTAGATCCAGAATTTTCTTTTGTGAAGATTGCTGCTCCTTATGCACAAGTATGTGCTTGTCTAGTTGGGTTTTAATATTCTGATCTTTAGAGTAGCGTGAATTTATATTTACTCTATAATAGTTCATCTATGAGATCCATTGAATTATGCCTGTAATATTTCAATTGAGATGCAGGAACTATTAGATTTAAAAAAGAATCAGCAAAATGGAACACAACTTGTGGAGGAAATAAGAAGACAAGCCAATGATGTATCCTTTTCTAACTCTTTCACCTCCTTATTTTTGTTCCTTTGTTCATTGCAGTAATATTTATTTCGTTTATCATAAATTTTTATTTTTTTATCAGAAACTAGTTGATTTCCTTTTCAAATTTAGTTAAAACAATTTACTACCGCTATTTCATATATTTTACTATGTTCAGTTTAATACTTTGTTAAGATATACTGTATCAGAAACTAGGAAGAATCAAGAGATCATAGAACATCATATAAGATGCAATGCACACGATTATCCCTCAAGGAATGTATTAGAAATGGATAGAGTTGTGAAAATATCTACACATCCCACATGCAGTGGGGGTCTCAACTGTTTGATGGTTCAATCCAAGGATCAGCCTAATCAGAACAACTTGTCAATGGACATTCTGTCTCTGAAATATCATGCAATCACATATCAAATAATGTCTCCCTCTACAATCAGCTTTTTTCTGTCTCTGAAATATCATGCAAGTGTTCCAGTTCTGTAGGTGCACTAAAATCAGCTTTTTTCTACGAACTTTTCAGTCTTGTGCTACTTGAACCCTCCGAATGTCTTGTATCTCATGTGTGTGAACCAGGGTCTAGACTTCAGTTTTGGTGTAAACTTTACTTCCTATGGAAGTAGAATTAATTCATGGAAATTATGCTAATGTTGCAAAAAGTTAGGAGACAATAAAACAATCATCAATTTACAGTTAGAACTCATTATGCTAGAACAAACATTTAATTGTACGAAATGTAGAATATAACAAGCTATGCAAATCACCAGGCATACACTAGAGATCCAACATAAATAGTTTATAACTATTTATGATAAGATAAATACATCTTTTATCACAAAATAATATGAAAATGACACTTTCGTTTACATTAACTTAAGATTTTTAATTTAGTTTCATTATTTTATCTTTTTATATTTTAATTAAGTATTTTTATTTAAAAATCAGGCATTTATGACAGATAAAATGAACAAGTAATAGAAATCAGTTGCTTATTTTCTTTTTATTTTTAGCTAAGATTCACATCATACAGATTTGTTCTGTTTTACAACTTTACTTTTTTATATGATTATTGTATTATGAAATATTTTAAATAGGAAGAATGCCTCCTAATTGGATCAATTAGGATTCTTCTCTGTATGAACTACATTTTTCTTCTTCCCTGTGGAGTGGTATTGCCAAATTGTCTACTGGATAGGGGACCCTCTACATTGTCCACATCAATCCCATACCTACTCGTATTACTATCTCTCCAAGTAGTATTATCTACTGAAATAATACAAAATTTTCAATGAGAAATATTTCATTTTAGATATGTGGAAATAGAGGTCTTTTAAGTGGAAAACTGTCTTACTGAGAGAGAGGATCAAGAAGCAAACAGGTTGCACCTTTTTGCTCTGCAAACAATATCTCCATGTGGAAGATTTCTGGTTCATTCAGATTCTTCTCTAGGGGGCATTTCATTCTCTATATTGTTAGTGGTGTTAGTGAAGGGGTATTTCAGTCTTTGTACTTGTTGARAATGCTGATGYKTACTGTTATATTAGTTCGAGTGCCTCTTACTTAAAGAAGGGCACTCAAGTCTTTTCCAATAAGTTAATAATATAATAACAGGTCTGGCCGAATCAAGGGTTTAACTTT